TGGGTGTGTGCATGCGGGTGAGGAGGAGGACGCCTCTGGAACCTTTCTGCCCAGTGTGCCCTGGGACTGGGAGTCACGCATCACACGGAGCTCGTGAGAAATGAGAATGTCAGGCCCAGCCCCGATCTACTGCGTCAGCCTCTGCACTGACAGGCCCCCTGGCTGTTCACAAGCTCACAGAAGCTCCAAGGGTGCGGGCACAGACCACAGCCCACGCCAAGGTGGGTGGGAACCAGCTCATCCAACAGCCCATGAACTTGGAGCATGTGCCACCTTCTTTCACTTGAAAATTATGGATTTGCCCACACACCTGCAGGTGCCAGGTCGTGCTTTCCCAATGTCACCTGGAGAGCTAAAACCCACACCCTCTGACACAGCAGAGAGCCACGCTGAGTGTTCAAGCCCAGAGAAGAGGCTGCCCACACCCCACTTGCAGTAGACATCCTGTTCCCTGTGAAGGGGTGCAGGCACCCGTAAAACAAAACAAAACAAAACAAAAAAACAAAAAAAAAAGGTGCCTCTTGCTGAGACACTTTGTCCCTCATTTTCTTTGAAAGCCCATCAAACGCTAGATTTGGCAACAGTGAGCGTTTAGGAAGTGTGATGTCGGGGACACACAGGAGAGATGCATGCAGGCCTGTGCTGCAGGCGAAGCAGAGAAAACGCCCAGCATCCAGCCTGGACCTGTCTGTCCACCGGGAGGACCAAGCCCACAAAGCAAGGGGCAGAGTGAGCAGAGATGCCAATGGAAGGGCCAGGAGAGGGGAGGGGAGGGGGAGCACAATACCAGAAAGGACAGGGGAGGATTGCCTTGGATTCAGTCACAACGACACTTTAAGAAAAACTTTTTTTTTTTTAAATTAATGTCCAGTCTTAGCAGCCCAAGTCCTCCCGAAAGCTTACCCAACATAGGAGAAGCTGGAGCAGGTAAGGGCTCTGCAATGAGGAGCCATCCTCTCAGAGGCCGGTGTGCCTGTGAGCACAGTCTTGTGAAAAAGGGGAAAGGGCCAGTCAGCCAGGGAGGGTGGGGCTTTCCTAGGCTGGCCCTTGGGGTTAGGAAGCAAGGGAGTCACCCTTATTACAGACACCACTGGACACAGTTCTTGCTCCAAGACTTCCCATGAGAATTTGCACAGATCAAAAACACGCGGTGTCTGACCTCCAAGCACATCTCTGGCCCAAAGGCACTGAGGCTTACAAAGCTAACGGTTTTTATAGGAGCCAACATGACTGTGTCCAGTTGTCTAGTTATCCAGTTATGCAGGACTAGAAAACAGGAGGAAGAGCAATTCTGAAGAAGTTCAGTAAGACACATGAAGGATGCATACGGCTGTATAATGGCCCCCATACAATCCCAGAGCCCAGTGAGTGGGGGGGACACAGCATGCAGGGCCCAAAGTGGGGGGCCCTCCTATAGGTGCCTGCTCCTCAAGAGGGGGTGAGTTCCTGGTGCTGCCACCACATCGCTTCTCATTTTCCTGGTTTCCCCCAAATATAAAATTCTACCAACATTGGCCAAAGCCGGTTTGGCTCAGTGGAAGAGCGTCGGCCTGGGGACTGAAGGGTCCTGGGTTCGATTCTGGTCAAGGGCATGTACATTGGTTGTGGGCACATCCCCAGTGGGGGGTGTGCAGGAGGCAGCTGGCTGATGTTTCTCTCTCATCGACATTTCTAACTCTCTATCCCTCTCAATTTCTCTCTGTGTAAAATCAATAAAATATATTTTAAAAAAAATTCTACCAACATTGATTGTCCTACTGTTTCTGTATTAGCCAGAGCGTAGTGGGAAGGGAAAAGTATAACTATTTCAGAACTTCAATAAGTGGTATCTCTCAGAATTATTTCTTCTGAATTCGGAATTGCATTAGTATTCTAGGTCATTCTGCCACTCGACCCTTCTTAAAGAGCAACTCCACCCAGCTGCATTTCTTTTTAATCTATGTTTATAAAATGGCAAACTCCTTGAAGCTACGTCAACTTCAGTCTTTGTTCGTAAAACAATTTAACAAAATTCACATTTGCTGTAATTGCTTTAGAAATGTAGGAACACACATGCACTGGTCATTTAATTCTTACTTACCCTTAGGTCACTCAAGTAATTGGTACAATAACTTTAAAGGCAAATCAAATCTTATTAATGCTTTCCAAGTACTTTAAAAACCGTAAGCGAATGGATGTTTTGTAAATTACTACTCTCGGGAAGAAAACACACACAGAAACATTTTACCATTTAGTTCCTGAGTCTTTAGATTTATTTGGTGAGTCTCAAGAAACTCTGTTGGTTTTTATTCTTCCAGAAAATAAGACTGTCTGAGGAAACTGCTAGAGGAGTTTCATGTGGTTTGGGCAGTGAGTTATGGATATGTTAATAGCTACAACTCAAAGAAAAAGGAAAAAAAAAAACTACCCAGAACCTATAACACAGGGACTTGCTTGGATGCAGATAAGGTACAAGCCTGGCATGGCTGGCAGGCTGCTGGGGAGACCATGGGTGTCTCCACTGGAAAGGAACCCGCTGTGCACTTAGTACCAGGTGGTCTAATAGGGATTTGGAAAGCACCGGGACTTCATGACTACTACCAAAATGTTGAAAAATATTGATTGGCTCAGAAGCACTCTGAGCTTCTATTTTGCTCTTAAAATGATCAGACAGTGTGAGGAAGAGAAAGATAAATAAGGTAGGCTTCATCTATGGGAGGGGTGGGGGGAAAGGTAGCAAAGACTAGGAGTTCAGAGGAAAAGATCGGATGTAACCAAGAGTGGTCAAAGAAGGTTCTGGATAAAAGGTGAACGCCAGGGCTGAGCCTCAGAAGAGGGGATGATTCAGGCATGTGGAAAGAAGGGACAGCCTCCTGAGCAAGAAGACCCTGGTGATAAGAGGGGTTAGGGGAGTGCGTGCATAAAGTGTGACCAAGGTCAGCAAACGCAGCAGTTACAAATGTCCTGTCTCTGTCTACACATGTACTGAGGCGGTCCTTTGTCCTGGGCCCTTCACATCATCATCAGCTCATTTAACCATCGCTATAAGCAGACTCCATGAGTAGAAGTGACAACCCTTTGCAAAACTCCATCTACAGTGAAGAGCATTGGATCGATGCAGTTGCAGAGTCTGCAGAGGCATCACTTCCTTTTCTGGAGGCAACAAGATTCCTGGAACTGGCACCCTGCCAGGTGGCTTGGTGGGCTGGAGCCTTTGTCCCATGCACCAAAGGTTGTGGGCTCGGTCCCTGGTTGCGGTACACACAGGAGGCATCTAATTGATGTCTCTCTCCCACATTGCTATCTCTCTTTCTCTTTCTTTGTCTCCCTCTCCCTTTCTCTCAAATCAATAAAAGCATCACATCCTCAGGTGAGGATTAGAAAAGCAAATCCCTGGACTTGGAAGACCATGGCGTCTTTTGGACTCTAGCCTAATGGGGGGAGAGGAAGAGCAAAACCACACCCGCAAACCAAAAAAGCCCCCCTTCCTCAGGATGAGCAGAGGCTGCTCTTTCTTGTTGGTGCACAGAGTATCAGCTAAGGTAGAGAGACCCTAAGTTGATATTAACTTTTCCTCAATGTACCTTCATCCTAATCCCACCTTTATCGTCTAGACCACTTTACATGGAAGAAGAGATGTGAGCCGTGGGCCAGCGAGCCCCAACAGCAAGCAGTCTAAGTAAGCAGCCTACACGTTTGCCTGTTTGCTTTGCTGTTAAATACGCCACGGTACATTTGTAGGATTTAGATGATCGTTTCTCTCCCTGGATGCGAGAACAATGATTAAGCCATTCCAGGACGCTGTGCTCCCCAGCAAGCCAGCCTCCAGACTCTCTCCAAAGAGCATTAAGTTGCATCCTACCTGGATGTAGACGGGAGAGATAGTCTTTCTGTTTAATCATCTGCTCACCGTAAAAGGAAGCCTCGCTAACTTCAGCGGGAAGAGTGTGCGGCAAATCACTTCTGAAGCTCCCTGAAGATTAAGGCCCCAGAGGTTCGGGACCGCATTACAATTAAGTAATAATGAAAGAGAAATCGTATCATTTGATCAAATAAATGCATCAACCCAACCCTACACTGTGTACCGTTGCTCGCTCGCCGGCAGTGTTGACTTTCTGAGGTAATTTTTCTCTCATCCCACAGGACAGGAAATGCGCACAGAGGGAAACGGGGTGGGGGTGGGGGAAGGGTGTGCGTGGAGGATGGCAACGGAAGTGCAGGTGCCCTGAGCTGCTCTCAGAGGAGACGCAGTATTCGCTGCGTCACAGGGAAAACCCCAAGAGGGTTTTGAAAGTCGTTTCTTAAAGCTCAGCGCACACAAAACCTTTTCTGCAGAAAAGCTGGGTCCCCCAGGAGCCCCACATTCATGAGGCCTGCTACCTGAGCAGGGTGAGGTGTAGTGCATGAATCCTCTTCATTACTTAAGAGCAAGTTCACCAAGCAATTAGCAGTATATCAGACGCTCCGGGGAGGCGTGGGAGAACAAGTTTTCCAAGCACTTTAGAAGCATTTATACACACCTCGCGTGCCATTAATCACTCTCATCTGTTCATTAAGGCGGCCTCCTGGAGGACCTCCACCTGCCAGTTCTCTCTCGGCGTGCTCCTTTTTATCTGTGGACCCGAAAGGGAGTCCACTGCTCTTAGGATATATTTTATAATTAAAAGGCTTCATTCACTCACAGGGGGTGTGCTCCACCCATGAGTCTGCATTTTCTGGGTTTTATTGAATATACCGAAGGCGGTTCTCTGGAGGTGTTCTTTGTGGAAGTCAAACCTTGCAACTCCAGCTGGGTTTTGGAATGCATTTTCGGCGTTGGAGAGATTCAGACCGCTACTTACAGCATGATGTACACCTTCTGTCCGTAGCAACACACGTTGCTTCTTCTGTCCACTACCTAGAAGGGGACCGACTGGAATTCACACTGCAATCTAACAGATGTAAGCTACAAGTGAGGGGGTAAGTGAGATGCCGTACAGCAGTCAGTGTGCAATGTCAGGTCCGCTGCTAAGTGACCTTACCTTTGCCTGCGACTCCTCCGCGCCCCTGCTCAGGCCTCGGCCGGTTCCCGGGTCGGTCCATCCCAGCGCAGCCCGCAGGGAGGCCCCGAGCAGTGCGAGACGCAGCCAAAGGCGTCCTGGTTTCATTTTGGTGAGTCTGTTGAGAAAACGGCAAGGGCTTAGAATTAAGTGTTACAAAGTGCAAGCAAGTCGTGGGGTAGTTAGTATTTGTACTCCACAATCAGATAAGCTTGAGTTAGATCCTAGCAACAGCTTTTCCGTTCTGCTGTGGAGAAGTTATATGGCTTCGGAGCCTTGCTTTACTCTTAAACGGAGTCAATAATATATACCTCAGAGGGCTGCTGTGAGGATGGAAGGAGTCAGTGTCAGGCGCACAGTAGGAGCTCTATCAATGCTAGCTGCTCTGTAGAAGGCCACCCGAAAGGCCACCTACCACTACGTCCATAAGAACAGGTCAGGTGACAAAGGTGGGCCCCTCGGTGAGGCCACCATGCACCTGTGCCTCAAAGAGCAGTTCGCTCTATAAATGCTGATGAGGAATCATGGTAAGCCCGTGGCAGCCCGTGTGCAGCCGATATCTCAGTCTACAAACTTCAAAATATAATTATAAGGTCCAATATTTTCATTTCAAGACCAATCATTTTTGCAGCAGAATCCAAGCAGCCCATGGATAATGGGATTTCAATCACTGTTAAGGTTTTTCCTGAGGCTCCCGTGATAAATGGTCTAAGGTCCCAGAAGACAAGACATGGGCAATTCAAAGTAATCACAGAATTACCTGGTTGGAAAAAAACTAAGGATCAGCTACAATAAATATCCCACTCCCTGTCATGTGCTGGGCATTGTACTAAAGGGGACCAGGACACAGACTAGTCCACTTGTACAAGTAGCTGTCGTGTTTTTTTTGTGTGTGTGTGTGTGTGTGTGTGTTTTTAAGGGTTTCTACTATGAACATATTCCGACTTCAATTTCAGTATCCCTAAGAAACAGAGCAAGATAGAACGCACAGTGCAGTGTTTACAACTCTTACTCCGGGAGCTTTAGGGGTTATTGATTTCCGTGAGCACCAGACAATTTAGTGCCTAACTGCATGTGGTCCACACTGCATCTTGATCCTGGCTGGGAGATGAAGAGACACAGAGTGCCTTGGAGGCCAGCAGCCCCTGGGACCTGGCGTAGGGCTGGTTCGGCGAAGGCGCCCCAGTCAAAAAGGATTAGCTGCCTGAGGGACAGTACAGCCCGCTGGAGGCGTCCACCCCTGTCCACACCCAAAGCCAACAGCTTTGGAGGACTCCGACCCCAAACAAGGGGCGTCAGAGGTGCCATATGGTCACGAGGGCTCCAACACACACACACTCCTGCCACGTTCCAGGTTTCCTTTGGCGGCTTTCCGCACCCAGGATAGAGCTGCTTCTCCAGATTGGCTGCATGTCCCCAGCTTGAGACAGAAATGCCCCCGGGAAGGAGAAGCAGGCTGAAACGTGTGGGCAGGTAACACGGCTCCATGAAAAGGCAAGGTTACAAGTTATGACTGTCTTGTAAGAGAAGGTGTCTTCTTAAATTAAAAAGAGTCCATGGGCTCCCACTCCTACATCTGTTCCTCCAGCTGCTCATCTCCCACATCTGTTGGCAAAGCTGGAGCTACAAGGGCAACCGTCCAGGTGTCAGGTAAGTATAGCGTGAAGGTCACAGCCGCGCCCCCTTCGTCCCCGGCTCTGCACTCTGATGGAGGCAGCGGTGAGTGGAAAGGTGTGGCTTTGGCTGCCACCCACTCGGCACACCCCATCCAGCACTCTAGCTGGGGCCTGGGGGTTCCTCCAGAGCTGGGGAGGAGGGAACATCACACTCGGGGAGGGGGGGGGAGATAGAAATTTCTTTTCCGAACTGCAACCAGTTTTTCTTAAAATAAACAGGACGACTCCCTACTGTCCATAAATTATTCTCTTCTGAACACAGAGCCACGTCCCAGATACTGCCGAAATCAGTTGCTGGATTTTGGGAATTTTTTTTTTTTAAAAACCAGCAACAGTAACTCAAGCTAGAACAAGAAAGACATTGCTTCCCACTCTCTTTTATTCATCCTCCCCTACTTATCCACGCTCAGCAATTGTGCTGCTGGGCTGAGCACACACAGGGAAGGTGTTTTCTCCCTCCTCATGCCTCCCAGCCCAAATAAACAAAAAAAGCGAGGCCATCAAGACATTCTGGTTAATGTCCAGCTGTCAGTTCCAAGAGTTAGGAAATGTCCAAGCCACAAAATTTAGTTTTCAACTTGCCTGGTAATCCAAGACCAGTTATGTTGGATGTTTTATTATTAATGGGTGGCATCAAAATACAATCTATTCATTTTAATTGCTATTTTGGCAAGCCGCAAATCACTTCCCTTAGGAGTATGTAGCCTGACCTCTGGCTTTGAGCCAGCTGTTCTGTGGTTTTTGTGTGTGTGTGTGTGTGTTTTTTTGGGGGGGCGGGGGGGGGGAGCTGGAGCTCAGCCCTGTCACACCTGGGCTTGTCCCTGGATTCATCTGGTTTGTATGGAGGTCCTGGGAGATTTTATTTGAATACAGGAGAACACGAGAGCCAGGCCAACTCCTGAAACATTCCTAGGCAGCTTCTTTGTAAAGCTGAGCTCAGGTCCGCTACCACTAGATCAACCTTCATTTGCATAGTAGGTGTGTCATTCTGTTCTCTGGGTGAGTGACAATTCATTGCATCTATAGCAGCAACAGCCTAAAAATTTACAACTCAAGCTTTATGACAGTTCAGTTCATAAAAAAAGAATTAATATTGGGTCTAAGTCAATTTTGATGATCTGTCTAATAACCAAGTATTACTATTTAGTTAACACTTATATAGCAACGAGAGGCCCGGTGCACGAAATTTGTGCACTCAAAGTGGGGAGGTCCCTCAGCCCAGCCTGTGCCCTCCCGAAGCCCTTGGGGATGTCTGACTGACAGCTTAGGCCTACACTGTCAGTCAGACATCCTTAGCATTTATAAACCCAAATTGCCTCAGAGGTGGGAGAGGCTCCCACCACTGCCGCTGAGCTCACCAGTTGTGAGCCCGGCTTCTGGCTGAGCAGTGCTTCCCCTGTGGGAGCACACTGACCATGATGGGGCAGCTCCTGCATTGAGTGTCTGCCCCCTGGAGGTCAGTGCATGTCATAGCAACTGGTCATTCTGCTGTAGGATTGAAATCAGTTCTCTGACATGTCCCAAGGGGTCCCCTATTTCAAGAGAGTGCAGACCACTCTAAGGGTCCTGACCAGTGCGCAATCAAAGCCAGGGAGAGATGCAGGAGGTTGGTCAGCTGGAGAGGAACTGTGGGAGGGCTCCAGGGCATGTCTGTCTCATCGTGCGTGCTCAGTCCTTATCATCCAGACCCAGCAGCAAGCTAACCTACTGGTTGGAGCATCTGCCTCCCGGTGGTCAGTACACATCATAGCGACTGGTCAGCCAGTCAACTGTCTGCCCCTTGGTGGTCAGTGTACATCATAGTGAGCTGTTGAGCATATCATTAGCATATTATGCTTTGATTGGTTGCACAGCTCAACCGACGACCAGACACTTAGCATATTAGGCTTTTGTTATATAGGATTACCATATGTCAGGCACTGTCCTAAATGCTTTACATGCATAGCCCTCTTTTCTATCCTGTGAGGAGGGCAATAAGTATCCCCTAGGCAGATGACAGGGGAGGCAGGACCCAGAAAGGTGAGTCCCCTGCTATGGCCATGTGGCAAATAAGTGATAGAGATGGGAATTCGCGCCAGGCAGCTGGACTTGATATTTATGCTCTTAACCCCCATCCTCTGCTGCCACTCAATACTTAGCAATATTTTATTTTGACAAACTGATGTTTTTAACATGATGTGAAAGGGGACCTTGAGCCCCAAGCCTCCCTTTCCTCAAAAGGCTCCCAAGAGCTGCACTCCTCCAGCTTTCAGGGGTCCAACCAAGACCAGAGGAGCAGGGCGAGGGAAAGCCATCCTGCTCCCTTCCCAGACCCCACCCCCCAGAGGGACCACTCGGTAGGCTCTCAGCTCCCACTGCTGCTGTCATTACTGACCAAGAAGAAGCCACATGATGATGCACCGACTGCCAGGCACCAAGCATGCCCCTCAGTTCGTGGGCACACCAGCATGGCGAAGACAGTCACTCTGAGGGAGGTGACCTGTGGACACATTACTCCTCAAATGCAAACAGCCCTACTGGCCTTCAGACAGAAGCGAATAAAAGAATCTCCCAGTTACAGACATGGGAAGGTACCATCAATAAGGTCGCAAACCCTCTTTGTGCAACCTAGAGTTCCTCCTGAGATCAATTCGGGTTTATAAACACCATTCAGTCCATGCTAGAGTGCTAGGCTTGTTAAAAATCTACCCAAGATCATCCTCAGGAAAGAGCAGGCACCACCTTTTCAAACAACTCACAAAACACAATCCCTTGGTATTTGAGACATCATGTTTCCAAGGGAAGTCATTCATTGCATCCTCCAAGGTTTCCCTCCTGTGCCTCCCTTTCCCTCCACTCCAACCTACCCCTCCCTAACCAACCCCCAGGTACAACCAAAGGGACAGAGGTTCTCCCGCTGGCCAGAATGAGCTGGCCCCTCTCTGGAGCAATAAGAGCCTTCCTGGGATTAATGAAAACTGGGGGTGGTCATAAAATTCAAAGAGAGCAGAAGCCACTGGGACAACTTTTTAATGGGCAATTTTAATAGATCACATCAATGACTATTTCGGTCTGTCTTCGGGGTGCAGGGCTGTCTTTTCCCCTGGGCTGGGAAGAAAATGAAGATTCCACTGAGTGTGTCTAAACAAAAATGGTCTAGAGATGCTGCAGTGTCTGCTTATGAAACTCAGACGAGAAGCAGACACCATGGGCCCTGTGGGCATTGGTTCAGGTCTCCCATTTGCATGAGGGCTGCTGCGGCTCTCGCGTCCTATAAGCCACACCACGTATTCCCTTGACCATCTGCTTCCTAGGTGAGCCCTCCACCGGGCCACTGCCCAGAGCCGGAGCTGGTTTCGGGCCACTCCAGGATTACGAGGACACTGTGAAAAGTCAGCTTTGACTTTCCCTCAAGCCTGATGGTAGAAAAATAGGGACTTTTGTTGAGAAAAG